TCCCATTAATTTGGCAATGCAGAAGTGGTTACTCTACTCAACCCCCCCTGCCCCCCTCCCCAGCCAGCTTAAATACATTGTAATTGTAATAGCCACCCAGAGTCGAAGTCTGGAAAATATATGCCTAAATTCCTTTTTACTTTGAGCCTTGCTGCCACCCTCCTCAACTTAGCAATGAAGTAGATGAAAAATCATTACTAAACAAAATGCACAGATCCTTCCTTTCTTTGAGGCATTCCTACCCTCATTCAATTTCTGTGTTGAGCAAGAACAGCAGCCTTCCTTTGCTCATATCCCTCCAAAAATACAACTTGTACAAAAGTTCTGTTTGTTCTTCACACTTTCCCAGAAATGAAAGTCACAGATTCTGTAGCAGGTTCAAGAGCAAAGAGCAACCATGGAGCTGTCTGGCCAAATCAGAATTTGTCCTTGCTGTTTTGAAATGTATTTCATAATAGGTCATGAACAAGCATCATCACACTTAGGGAGGAACAAAGCAATTTGTGACCGTTAGTTAAGGATCCACATGCCATAAATGGCATGTTAGTCTGAAAATGGACACACCCTCAGCCAAGTGTCAAGGTTACTACCCCAGCTCCTGAAATGGCCAGAAAAAGTCTTATCAAACTTTATAAACTGTCTGGATAGCTGTTTCCAAAATGGCAGTATAGAAATATTTTTAAAAAGCAAACAGATAAATACATTAGCCATTGGCCCTCTTTTATGGAGGGCAGTCTTCCATTTGAAAGGCTAATGGGGAACCATCCTTTCTTTGAAAGTCTAATTCTCATATAAAAATAGTAAATCAACAGAACGATTGCCCATCCACATTTAGCATTTGGACATCTGACCAAAAAGGCAGGCCCACCAGGCACCTGGTCACTCTCTCTATTGTTATAATATTAATATTACTTATGAATGCATCTGTACACATAGATTAGCAGGAATCACTTCTCAGTTTTTCAGAGGTACCTTTGCCCTTTTGAGTAATTCATAAGTGGCCACATTTAAGAAAGGATGACCAACAACTCTGCCCACCCCACCAACAAAAAACCCTCCCCTTCTTTGTGGACAAACCCAGTTGGGGCTATTATAGTTCATATTAATCTATGTGCGTGCATGGGCAGTCGTGCTCCCCACCCTTGAATCACTTTGCTATGTCGGCAGCTGCTTGGCCAAAAAGCCTGAGAGATGCACTGCCCTGGCACCTGGTATTATGCCCTGTCACTTTAAGAAGTCTGTCCGGAAAAGAGTGCATCCCTAGCTGGAATTGTTGTGCAGGCCAAGTAAGGATAGTGCCCCGAGGTCAGAAATTTCTGGCCAGATTCTCAGGTCACAGGTTAGCAGTGTGATTTAATCAGCCACATTAAATTGACCTCACAATTAGATTAGGCATGGCAATCAGCAGGTAGAAAAATATATGCCCCAGGCAGAGTTGCATACCTCTAATGGGTTGCAGAATTGGTGATAAGAAGGATAATTGGGCAGAGGTCACTTAGCCGGAACCTCTGGTGCAATCAGCTCCTGGCATCTCATTCTTTTATCAGTGGCTGATTCTGGGTTTAGCATCTGGGCTCTTCCCACCAAGGTCTTCATCCTATATTTTATTGTGTTTGTATTGTTACCCATTTTCAGTCCTGTACTTATGTTTATGAATTGATGCAGACTGGCAAGAAAACTTCAGCTATCAGGTGGTATAGAAATCAAATTGATAATAGTAACAATTCATGACCCAGTTGGTTCCTCCTCTTTCTCAGCGCCAAGAAATAGTGAAAGAAAACCTCTTGGTTGAACCTGGTGAACCAAACACAGCAGTCCAATTTGAACCGGAGTTGGTGTGGTATGCATGGATAAAGTGTCTGGCTGGGACTAGGAAGATCTGGGTTCTAGCACCCACTGGATGATAAAGTTCATTGGGTGGCTTTGGGTCAATCAGCAGCCTGCCTCACAGGGCTGTTGTGAGATACAAATGGAGAGGAGGGTCCTGGGAGGGAAAAAAAAATATAAGTACACCTCAGGAAACAATCTACATCTGCTATTCAGCCACAGGTAGAATTATAGAATCATAGAACAGCAGAGTTGGAAGGGGCCAAGAAGGCCATTGGGTCCAACTCTCTGCTGATGCAGGACACCAGGTTACACCATCGCACTCAGCTGACTGTCTAGTTTCTTCCTGAACGCCTCTAGTGTGGGAGAACCTTCAACCTCTCTAAGCAACTGGTTCCACTGCCATATTGCTCTGACAGTTAGGAAATGTTTCCTGATATCTAACCTGAATCTGGTTTGCTGTAAATTGAGTTCATTATTCTGTGTCCAACACTCTGGCATCAGTGAGAATTGATCTCCTCCTTCCTTTCTGTGACAGGCTTTCAGGAATTTGAAGAGTGCTATCATATCCCCTCTCAGTCTTCTCAAGGCTGAACATGGCCAGTTCTCTCAGTCTCTCCTCATGGGGCAGTGTTTCCAGACCCAGGATTAACTTTGCTGCCCTCCTCTGAACCCTTTCCCATTTTTTTGCATATTTCTTAAATCTTGGTGCTCAGAACGGGACGCAGTATTCTAGATGAGGCCTGACCAGTGCGGCATATAGGGGAACTACTGCTTCTTGTGATACTTCTATTAATGCATCCCAAAATACCTTTGGGCCTTTTTGAAGCTACATTGCATTGTTCACTCATAGTTAGCCTGTTGTCCACAATACTCCAAGGTCTTTCTCTTTTGCAGAATTGTCGAACCAAGTATTCCCCATCGTATCCATGCATTTGGTTTCTTTTGCCTAGGGGACTTGGCATTTGTCTCTACTGAATTTCATTCTTTTGCTTTCAATCTAGTATCCAAGCTTAGACCTTCCTTCTGTCTTCCAGGGTGATAGCTATTCCAGCTAGTTTTGTGTAGGTCTTTTGCATGGTGGTGTTCTGCTGCAGGATTAGGTGGTCCTTTATGAATTGCCAAAAAAGACAATATGAATTGCCAGAAAGCAGGACATGTATTTGCAATGAATGAATGAATGAATGACTATGGATATGTTAATGTATGTAAAAACTGCAAAATTTGCAAGTAATTGCTATAAGCAGGAAAAAATCTAGCTGGAGTGGCAAAGACAGGCCCAGGCATACCATGTGCCTTGTTCAGTCTGCCGTCCAAGTGCATTGGCAACTTCAGGTCCCTGCTGTCGCTTCTTATGGTTCATGGAACAGGGCCTGGACTGGTTAGCCCTTCAGTGTTGGATACGTTAAAACAGAAGTCTGTCCTCAGGGACTCCATCAAACAGGACCCTGCTCTCTGTAAAACTAGGATGCATTGTCACGGTATGCAGAATGCAGCTTCCGTTGCTTTGTGTAGCAAAGAAAAAAATAGAAAAATCTTCACATGGCTTATATTGCAACACTCTGCGTGTCTGCTCTAAAGTAAGCCCTTTGGCTTACTCCCAAGGAAAGGCACCCAGGATTGCAATTTTAGTGTCAAATGTACTATGGCTGGAACTTTGGCACAATGTCCCTAGAAGTCTCACTGAATTCAGTAAGGCTCACTCCCAAGTAAACATGCACATGATCTTGCTTTGCTTTGCTTTTTGCTTTCCCCCAGTGAAATGTTGGATGTGCAGGACTGCTGTGCAAATTCATATAATCAACATCACCACAGGATGGCAAGGCAGTAGAGATTTGCTGAAGGCAATCCTGAATGCATAATCTAAAAGCAAGAAAAATATTACTCTGAAAGCATATCATGTTGACATTGGCAGTGGCTACTGCTGAACAGCAGAGAAATACAGGATGCTTCTGCTGCTTCCCTTTCCTTGCAGAATACATTTTCTCTAGCGCTCTTCTTGGATGTATTCCCTTAAAGCCTTCTGTGCAAGCACAAACAGCCTGATGGAAATTAGATGGGTGCATTTCCCCAACAACACCACTTCCCCTGTCTGATTTAGCAGTTTCTTTTGCTGAATCAGGAGCAAATCACTCCGGCACACACATGTTTGAGATGGCAAATGGTACTCAGAGAAATTGGAGCATTTTGAAGTCTTGGGAAAGGGTATCTCTCACTAATAAGGGACAGCAGCATTTGGCAAAGAGAGGTCTGAAACCTTAAATGACTGCACCAGCTTCCTATAAAAGAACAATGGAAGTGGAATAGTCCAAGTGGAAGATGCAAAGCGGCCAAATCACTGGGACTAAGGCTCAGTTGAGAATTATTGGATCGGGCCCAACGTCAATAAATCATGCTCTAGTTAAGAATCGTCTTTGTGGGTGAGGTGAGGGGAAACGAATTATGTCACATGTCCCAATCAGACCTTGCAAAGCCATGGCCAAACAGTACACACTAGCAAGCGAAGCAGAAAGGGAGAAAGGTATAAAATTTCAGCCTTCACTAGCCTGGGATCCTCCAGGAGCTTGAAATTACAACTCTCATCATCCCTGACAATTGTTCACATGAGTAGACCTGATGGGAGTTCTAGTCCCAAACTTCAAGAAGAACCACATTGAGTGAGATGAACAATTACTCTGACCCAGCATAAGGTATCGGCGATTTCGTCAATGTTGAGATTCTCCAGTTTTGCTCCTGTTTTTTCAAGAGACTTTCCTGGTTGTTTGCTTCATCTTTTCTCTCCTTTTTATTTTTAAAGGGGAAAATGGGCTATTATTTCTGAAAGTGCTACTTCTACTTGCATATTTGTGGTAATCTATTACAGCACACCTCTCCCTAGAGTTTATGAAGTGGAAAATCAGGAAAGGGAAAGCTCTTTGGACATAGCTCTGAACACAGTTTGTAACAAACCCAGAAGTAGATACAGTTCTTAACAGTCTCCTGTGGGAAGCTCTTAGCACAACTGTCTAGCTTTCAGCTGGAAAGCTACTTTGCTTGCAGCACTTTCAAAAAGAGAGCATGAATACAGGACCCACCTCTGCCTCCCCCCTTACTGTCTTTCACGTCACCTCAGAGCAGTGATGAGAGTAGTGGGGGGACAATGAGATAAGCCAAACATGTTGGGAAAAACTCACCTAAGGATGCATCAAAGCTCCATGGAATCCATCTGTCTGGTATTTGTAGACTTCCTCTCGCGAGGGGCCCTGTCTTGGAAAGTGAGCCAAGCTGAGAAGACATCCACAAACACTTGTGGAGCAAGGCTGCCCAACTGGCAACCTTCTCCATTGCATGCAGCAGTATAAACCAAGTCCGACAGCCCCTCAAGTACTTGTAGAGCACTATCACATTTCTTCTCTTGCTGGGACTAAACATGCCCAGTTCTTTCAATCTCTCCTCACAGGGCTTTGTTTCCAGTCCCTGGATCATCCTTGTTGTTCTTCTCTGAACTCTTTCCAGCTTGTCTGCATCTTTCTTCAGCTGTGGTGCCTAGAACTGGACACGGTACTCCAGATGAAGCCTAACCAGTGCTGAATAGAGAAGAACTAGCACTTTACGTGATTTGGAAGAGATACTTCTGTCAATGCAGCCTAAAATAGCTTTTGTCCATTTTGCAGCCAGATCACATTGTTGACTCATGTTCAACTTGTGATTTACAATTCCAGGATCCTTCTCATTGGCAGTATTGCTGAGTCAAGTATTCCCCATTTTGTAACAATGCATTTCATTTCCCTTTCCTAGGTGCAGAACTTGGCATTTGTCCTGACTGAATGTTATTCTGTTGTTTTTAGCCCAGCACTTCAACCTGTCAACATAACCTTGAATGTTCTTTCTGTCTTCCAGGATATTATTGATCCCACCCAGTTTTCTGTCATCTGCAAATCTCATAATCATTCCCTGCACTTCCTCATCCAAGTCTTTCATGAAAACGTTGAAGAGCAGTGGGCTCAGGACTAAACCCTGTGGTATCCCACATGTTACCTCTCTCCAGTTGGAGAAGGTGCCATTGATGAGCACACTGTGAGTCCGATTCTGTAACCAACTGTGGATCCATCTGACTGTTGTTCCATCTAGGCCACTTTTTACAGGTTTGCTAATCAGAGTATCATGAGGCACTTTGTCAAAAGCTTTGTGGAAGTCAAGATAGATCATGTCCACAGCATTCCCACAGTCCATCAGGGAAGTTACCCAATCAAAGTCTGAATTCAGACTAGTCTGGCAGGATTTGTTCTTGAGAAATCCATGTTAGTTTCTAGTAAGCACTGCACTGTTTTCTAGATGTTTGAGATGCACTGTTTATACTCTGCTCCAGAATTTTCCCAGGGATTGATGTCAAACTGACTGGTCTGCTGTTCCCATGTGCTTCTTTTTTCCTTTTCTTGAAGATGGGGACAACATTAGGCCTTCTCTAGTTATCTGGCACGCCCCATCCTCCATGATTTCTCAGAGATAATAGACAGTGGTTCTGAGAGTTCTTCCACCAGCTTCATTATGACTCTAGGATGGAGTTCATTGGGCCCTGGAGATTTGAACTCATTTAATCCTATAAGATGATACTTGACCATTTGCTTGTCACTCTTGAGCTGCCATCCTGTTCCTTCAGCTTGTACTTCACCAAGAAGGTCACAGATCTTTTCAGAGAAGACTGAGTCAAAGTAGGAATTGAGCACTTCTGCCTTTTCTTTGTCATCTGTTCTCATTTTTCCATCCATACTCATCAGTCGAACCCCATTTCCTTCCTCTGTCTTTTACTATGGACATATCTGAAGAAGGCTTTTTGCTGCTTTAGCCTCACTAAGTTTAGTTCATGCCTAGCTTTAGGAATCCCTGCAATTCCGTGCTCGCTGCCTATAATCTTCCTTTGTAGCCTAGTCTTCCTTCCACTCCTTCTACATGTCCCTTTTGGTTTTCAGATCATCTCTAAGCCTTTTGTGAAGCCACAAGGGCTTCTTCTGTTGTCTTCTACCCATTTTCCTTGTTGGAATTGTTTGCAGTTGTGCCTTTAGAATTTCCTTTTTTTTTTTTTTTAAATTCCCAGCCATCTTGGACTCCTTTTTCATTAAAGTCACTTCCCATGAGATTTTGTTTATCATTGTTTTAAGTGTATTAAATCTTGCTTTCCTAAAATCCCGGGTAGTGTTGGGCTACACTTGACTTTTGCTTCCTTTAGAATTAAAAAATTCAAGTATGGCATGATCACTTTCCCCCAAAATTTCCCGGAGCTGCCACTTTGTCCACTGGGTCTTCTCTGTTGTTTAGCATCACATTAAGAATAGCCGTTTCTCTAATTCCTTCCTCCCCTTAGAAACCAGGAATCCAAACCACTAGTTGGAGAAAGTTAATCCTAACCTCTGTCAGAGAAAGTTAACAACAATACATGTTAGGAATTTGTGGAGGAGGCATGTTTACCAGAATTTGTTTCCCAGCAGATATCAAGGAAATTTAGGTCCCCCATAACAATGACATAATGACTCCTTGAAACACTGGCAATTTGCTTTTCAAAAGTTTCATCCTCATCTTCTCCCTGATCGGGTGATCAGCAATAGACTCCAACCACTGTGTTCCTTTTATTCCTTGCTCCATTTATATGAATCCAGATGCTCTCAGTGGGGATGCTAAGCCCATCCTCTTGTATTTCTATGCAGCGATAAGTATCTTTAACATAAAGGACACTCTGCCTCCCTTTCTGTGCTACTGAAACAGGTTATATCCTTCCATTGTTGGATTCCAGTCATGGGAGTCTTCCCACCACATTTCAGTTATACTTATAAGGTCATATTCACCCTCCTATATTACGAGTTCAACTTCATGCTGTTAGTGTCCCATACTCCAGGCATTAGTTATAGGCAGTGAAGACCGTGTGCTTTCTTCCGGCTTTTTTTGGGGGGGAGAGTCTATTATCGGGCACCGTTAGAGCTGCTCTCTCTGTTGTGGTGCATAAGCCTTTGCCCGTTGTTGCCCCCAAGTGCACTTCTGCCTCCTCTGCAGGATTCAGTTTAAAGTCCTCCTGATAAACTTCCCCGTGCTGTGGCCAAACACCTTCTTTCCAGTTCTTGTAAGGTGCAGCCCATCCTTTGTGCATGCGCATGACACATCCCTTGCCAGCAGTCCAGCTTCCAGGAAGTCGTCCACGGTCCCCGAATCCAAACCTCTCACACCAGCACTACCTTCATGGGCAGGCTTCCACCTGCAGTCTTTTTCTTTCCTTGTCTGTTCCTCTTCCAAAAACTGGTAGGATTGAAGAGAAAACTGTCTGAGACACAAAGTTCTTGATTATCCTTCCCAAAGCTTCCAAGTCTGATGTGATTTCTTCAAAGCTCCACTTGGCAATGCCGTTTGTTGCCACATGTATAAGAAGGAAGGAAGGCATACGTGCCACATCTCATCACCTCTTTGGCTTGACCTTGGAGTATAATCCTCAGACGTCATCTGGGCAGATCAGCTTCTGCCAAATGTGCATGCTGAAGAGACCCACAGATGTGACCACATTGCACCATAATACTGTGCTGGAAATTCCTTTCACTTTTTGTTTGTTTGTTTAAAGTTTTTATATGCCCTCCAGTACTAAAAAGTCTCTGGACAGCTTAGAGAAAACAAACCAACAAACAAAGCAACCATATACAACAAACAACACAAAATACACTGCATCCAATAAATGATGATGATAAAATCAAGGATAAAACCAATTAACTGTTAAAATATGGGGAAAATTAAAAAGTTTTCACCTGATGCCAAAAGGAAGAAAGTGACGGCACCAGCTGAACCTCCCTGGGGAGTGAGTTCCACAGTCGGGGTGCTACTGCTGAAAAGGCCCTTCTCCAAGTAGCTACCCTTCTAATCTCCTTCAAGGAGGGCTCCCGGAGAAGGACCTCTGCCCCAGATCTCAAGGGATGGGCAGGCACATAAGTAAGAAGGGGCTCCTTCAGGTATCCAGGACCCAAGCCATTTAAGGCCTTATACATCATTACCAGCACCTTAATTTGGGCCTGGACTTCAACTGGCAGCCAGTGTAGACGATATAAGGGCAGGCATGATATGGGAGCATCTGCCATTTTGTTCAGCTAACCTTCTTCGATCTGTTGGAAAATAGTTTTTGAAAAGAAATTCGAAGAAGAATAAGATTTCAGGGAAATTCTCATGAATTGGGTTTGAGGTTTTTATGCTGACTGTGCTTATGAGTTCACTAAAGAGTGCGTATATGAGTCCTGTCTTTCCTCGCACCATCCTCTTTCTGCAAGCTCGTCACTTCGTGGGCTCCCCAGAGTTAAAGCAAAGCTCAGGGAAGACCTCATGGGATGTGTCCCGTAGGGCTTTTCCAGATCCAGAAGCATGAGTAGCACTGGGGGCTACAGAGTAAAAACTGCACACAACACCAGCAGCCAGCTCAGAGTGATTTGGAAAGATCAAAATCATCACAAAAGAAATTAAGACTAAACCATAAAATGTACTCAATGTGAGGCAGAAAAATAGAAGCCGAATTGGGGAAGGAAATTTGTTGGACACTGGGGGGCATGTTTTGGTACAACGCAGGCTTTCCTCTTGCCTCGCGCGTGCTGGTGGCAGGGCCTGGCAGGAAATACCACTGGCACTAGAGGCAAGATGAATCCCTAGTATGCAAATTGAATCTTTGAATGGTCTGGGGAAGGTGCTGAACTTGGAGGAATGACAACTAAATCTTAGCCAAATTTCTCAGAAGACATTTTGCTCAGAGAAGTTTGAGATCTCTTTTTGCTTCCCCTACCCTGAGCTGAAAGGCCACCCTGTTATTTTTATTTTATTTTTTATATTTATATCCCCTTTTATTTTCTTCAAGGAAATCAGAGCAGCCTACATAATCCTCCTCTTCCTTCTCTCAATTTTATCATCAAAACAACCCTGCAAGGTAGGTTACGCTGAGAGTCAGTGACTGTTCCAAAGTCACCCAGTAAAGGTTTTTTATTTCCTTTTGGCTGAGTGGGGACTTTTATTTATTTATTTAAAAGCTTTTCTCTACCGTCCTTCACCTTGCATCTCAGGACAGTGATACAGTAAAAGCACAGCATTAACTGAATTGACACAAATAAAACCCATCTTTAAAACAGTATCAACAGTTAAATTATCAAATATGAAGATTTGGATTGGCAGTGAAATGAATAAAGTGTTGGCGCCAGGCACCCCTCTCTGGGAAGCCAATCCCATATCCAGGGAGCCACCACAGAGGAGGCCCTGCTCCAGGTAGCCACTCTCCTGATCTCCTTGAAAGAGGGCTCCCAAAGAAGGACCTCCGATCCAGTTCTTAGGGGGCGGGCAGGTATGCATGGAAGGAGGTGCTCCTTCAGACTAGAACTGGGATCTCTCAGATCCCAGTCTAGCACTCTAACCATTACACTACACTACACCAACTCTCACATTTGTAAGATGCCTTCTTGTTTCCCCCAAACACACCCAAGTGTGCAACAGTGCCCTGGAATGACACTAGGTGTGAAGCACCAGGAAAGATGCAAAGTGGCACTCAGGTTGCCAACACAGTTGATGTTGCCAGTGGTGCTTTACATACACATGGAAACCCTTAGGGGAAAAACGGGGGTGCTGCAACCTGCCAATATTGAGTTCTATCTGTGGAAACCACTAGATAATTTCTCTTTGATGAAACTGCCTGCCCAGTTTCTCTGCCCACAAACAGGGTGAGGAATTTTGAGAGGACATTTGGAAACAGTTCTGTTAGGCAGAGAAGTAAAATCGGACACATCTTGATCGTGTGTGCAGAGACTCACCAACACAGCAAATGCTGAGAACAGCACTTAGAGAACCTCTGAAAAATTACTTTTCCCACATGTCGCACTGTTTTGCATTAGAACACTCCTCAAACTTTCTTCATGGCCTGCGCAAGACGTTAACGGATATGTATAATAGGCAAAATTCCTATGAATGCAGATGTAATTATTCATTCTCTACTGTTCTTTAGGAATTTGGTTATATGCTTTGTTAGTTCAAAAAGGCCACCAAAATATTTGAGCACTGCAAAGGGAAAATGGGGTGGGTTGACATTATTATAGTCTCCAGGATTGGTTCCTGCTGCTGTAAGAATTCCAGTCAGCTGGAGTTGAAACATTTATAGAATATGATTCTGGAAGCAAAGCTGACAAGCTGATTATTTCAAAGCAGGAGGCAGCTATCCCAAGCCCACATTCTGCATGAATGACTTTATCTCCACGATGGCAAGGGAGACAAGCCAACTTTTCTTGTCTTGAGATAGAAGCACTGAAGAGCCAGAATCTTGGATTGTACTAAATCAGGTGGATTCACTTAGGGATAAACAGGATCCAATTCTGTTTCACAGTTCTTTGTTCCCACAAATATACAGTCCCTTTGTAGGGTTTTGTGCCAGACACCTCTGTCTGTCTGTCTATCACACTTGTGTGTGGCCAACTATCCCGACAGGGATCTCTAGGCTTACAACAATTTTCTGTCCGTTTTCATCCATTTTTCAAAGCAGTTGAATGGCAAAATCCTACATTGATCCTCCCGATGTCATCACATCATCCATTCATAGAAGCATAGAAACAGAGCAAGTCAGAAGGGGTCTCCCAGGCCATCTAGTCTGACCTCCATCTAGTCTGATTCATACACAAAGCCATTCTGTTTCTTAAATGGTATTCATTCTCTAGA